GGGGGAAGTCGTTACTGGTATATCAATACGGATACCAGCTCGGTAAATGCACTAACTTTGTTTGTGATGGGCACTACCTTCTCTGTCCAACACGATAATGCAGTAGAATTTGAATGTGCAATATCTTAGGGACGCAAGTCAAATCCCAGACCTGGAGACAGCATGAGAAAGATCCTGACGCGCGCTACGTCATCATTGTTTAGAGGACATCAGGTCTTATTTAAACCAATTTACCGAAAGATCTTCCTAGCATTTGTACGAGCGGCTCAAAATTATCTCAGTAATTCAAGTACCATTTCTCACTCGAGATTAATAATTATAGGGCCGTGGTCGACGTGATCTGCTACATCAGAAAATTGTGATTAGAGCTCTGAGAGCTTCTACTTATGTGTTTTTAATTGGCCCAGCTGAGAGAAAAGCGCCACCAGGCAAAGTACGTCATATATCAACATCTTGTATCCAAGGAAGTTAACAATCAAATAACACTGTGTGGACCACATCAAGAAGAATCTGGGTGTCTAGTGCATTTTTGTGTTGAACAGAGAAAATGTCGCTATATCAATAAAATTTCTGGTACCGTCGACCGACAAAAAGTACAAACAATGCAGAAGAGATGGAGTTCTTGGATGAAATGCCTCCATCGGATTTTTAACAAAGTAACGGAAACAGTTGCACCTACGGGAAAGACAGAAAAACTTGGATTACAAGATGCAGACAATGTCTCGCTCAGGCGTGCTTCGTGCTCACTTAGCAACGCCAGAGCGGTCAACGGCATGCATGCAAGGAAGGCAGTAGAGACTGCGAATACTGGCCATGGCGTCGTCCAACTAAGCTTAGATAACGACGCAAAGACACTAGAGATTAGGTGGACTCAGTCGATTCTGATAACAGTGGGAAGCATGCAGTATTTCATCTCCTCTACTGCAAATTTGTAACTGTAACGAATTGTGCGTGGTGTGGACCACAGCGCAGCAGACTCTGACGGCGATGATGGGGCGCAGGAGTGGCATTTGCCGTGCCAGAAGATTACCGCGAGCGGAGGCGTCGGGTTGTGTAAGGCAGTGTGCGGCGCTAAACGAGGTTTCAATCAAGACTGTGGCCTTGAAGTGCACTGCGTGTCTGCAAATCTTGACGAATACAGTTCGCAAGGTGGAGTGAGGCGGTTGGGACCGCTCAGTTTTGAACCTTCTCAGTCTTGACCTAAACCCTCGGTGTCCTGCAGAGTAGGCGAGCGTGCGATCGGGACGATCGCAAAAAGAGGCAAGCTTGGTGGTGGTGTGCACTGCCGTGGAACCCGGTGTGTACTACTTAGAGCGTTGGGGGCGAGTGCTAGGGCGGCGTGCGTGCTGACGGGATTTTCGTCGTGTGCGTGGTCGAAGGTCGAGTTCTGTTGGGGTATAGGTTGCATTTAGCAAGACAATTTGTTGGAATGAAGTAGGAGCGAACACAAGTGTTCAGCGTTCCGGCGCAGAATTATGTGGGTCCTGTTGGCCAAGACTGTGTATTACTGCTTTAATGCCTGCAAAGTTTGATGAAAGCGGACGCCGTAGCACAGCACTGCGGAGCGACGACCCGCCCCGCGACCGGACGAAATAACTGTCCCGTTACTAAATCATCTCCATTGGTTTAACCCTTTCGCGAGCCACTTTAGTAAACTATATTATACAAATCTAGGATAGTCGGTATCAAAAGGAGGCATTTTGCCTCCTTCAACATGGATACATCGTCGTACTTAGTTGAAAAGCAGGAAAAGGGGGCATTCTGCTTCCTTTTATCGCGAAAGGGTTAATACAAAACGAATGCAATCCAATGGAATCATTTTGTCCGAGAACTTATAACTTTTTGTTGTTGCCTTGCACTTTTTTTATCGGTCGACGCTACAACATTGTTTTGGATGATAGCTGGCTAGTAACAATTCGAAGGCAAACCGCTTAGTTTTATGACTGACGTCAAGATGAAGCAGACAATCATCTACTCCATTACGGAAGCTCAGCGGTGCCTCGTAACCAACTGAAAGAGGTATTAATAGACCCACTTAAGGTGCATCTAAACATAACTATCATCCAAACATTCGTTCTGTCTTATGTACCGACTCCTCAAGCATCCCCTGTGCCTTCTTCCAAGCCGTAGCATCTGTTCGTACAACCGACTTAGTAAGTTGTAACGAATATGCTTTGAAATCGTATACGATACTATAATATAACTACAGGACTTAAGCTTCAATGTGTCGTACTATAATAATGTTTACAATACAGTGGCTTAGACACGAATTTAAAAATAAGTGTTTAGTAGCCCCAAATTTACTGCATGATATTATTCCTACAACCTGAAGTCCGGCACCTCAGTCGCATGATAAAGCAACTGTTTCTTATCGACAAGTAAGGTTACCGATGGAGAATCCGGACATTAAAGGCTTCAGCGTAGCGGACAAGGCTGCCCAAGGTGGCTGAACTAAGATTATTAATAATGAAATGCGTGTAGGACAATGCTGAAGAGCTGTTCAATGGCTTCTAGTACGGTATGGATTCGAAAAACGATGCTGCGAACGACTAACTTTAGTAACTTACGCGAGCATTTTCCTTTGCTAATAGTAATCACAGAGATGGAGCTATTATTAGATACCGGGCAGAGCCCGGGGAATGTAGATCGAACGAATTCTATTTTGTTTTACTATGAAACACCACCCAACCTTCTGCATGTAGTTTGTGTATTCGTTGCTCGCTACTTCAAGCTTGGTGCTCTTGCGAGTGCTGTTGAGTTCTGCGAAGAGCTGGAATGTGGGATGGCGTTGTCAAGTGCTACCAGCTTCTGGGCAAGCCAATGCACGCCGAGAAGCCTGCAGCATTGATGGTGGCGCCTCCTTCATTGCAGCCAAACAAAGACGCGCTACCACAGCCGGAGGCAGTGAGTGTTCGGATTATAGTCGTTGCACAGCGCAAAGCTATGCTACAATTTACTTGCAACTATTCGCTCCCGCTACTGCTCGGTACGTATATGCTGTCGCTGGATTCACTGTCTTGAAGACTGTTCTGTTCTGAAACCTGGTGGGCAGTTCGCTCGTCGCAACGTGTAACGACAAGGACAAGACGATAGTCCCCACGCACAAATGCCAGAGGGATCGTTGTAGGAGTCCAAGCCATTTCGACGACCTGGATTCCAGATTGATTATAATAAGGCTCCCCAGGCCTCCCTTCGTATTCACCGTCGGAGAGTTCCACTACGACAGTATCATCATCGTGTGCATCTCCACCGTCACTCTGGGCTTCATCATCGTGTGCATCTCCATCGTCACTGTGGTCCTCACCATCGGTTACGTGTACTTCATCGTCATGTCTCCGGGTAACAGTGGAAGAAACTTGATCGCGTCCACGAACCTCGATCCGTCCATGAACACCCTATCCAACAGCAGCAAATCTTTTGCCCACGTCCGTCATGACCACCAGGAGCGACTTCAGCGGCGCTGGGTCCGCCACGAACAATTGGAGCGGCTTGGTCGCGTATGGAGGCTTCGGCTTCGAGATGGACAAGAGCAGCTGCAGCGACTTGGCCACGCGTTTCAACATGGTCGCATCCAGGGGCCTCGACTCGGCCATGAGAAGAAGCATCAGTAGCTGGTGTACTTGCGGCGTTAGATCGCCCATGGACAACGGCTCTAGCGCTAGCTTTGTCGGCTTGAGCTGCAACGGGTTCTCGCCCATTTCCGGGTAGTCCGTGCGAACAAAACTCGTCAATGTATTCTTTTGAGATATCTGTATTTGGAGCATTTGTAAAGAAGTGCTGTAAGTAAGGGTACACTTCTTCGATGGGGACTAGCATGTCCATCAGCGTGTTTCTCAGGTACATCATGCACCATTTGCTAAGTGTTGCTCCGGGTAGCTTCAGGGCAGTACATATTGCAACAAACTCATTCCTACTAACGGGCATTTTGACGTTGATAACTGTGAATGATTGCTTCCTTTTAAATTCTTGGCACGCTTCCCAAGTTATGGATATTTTTTTTCAATTAGAAGTGAGACGTGACGTGGCGAGATATCTATCTGCTGTCTCTTCAGAAGCTAAAACAGCATGAAATAGAGCAGTTGGTGATCCGCTGCCGTCTTCAGCAGCGAATGTGTCATCGTCTCCAAGTAGTGAAGCGGCGAGTGATCTGCCGTCGTACGTACAAGATTAGTATTGGCTTATGGAGCGGCGAGCAACCTGCCATCGTCTCCAGTAGCAGCAGCAGCGGTGAGGCACGACGCGGTGACTAATGTGCCGCCATCCGTAGCAACCGAAGCAGTAAGGCAGCAATGTGTGGTGAAGCGCCAGTTGGCTTTTGCGAATAAGAAAACTGATTGATGGGAAGTGACCCGATCCAGCCCTGAGACTCGTGGTCGACGACGGTGCGTCAGTGATTACGTCATCATCGGTGAGGATTATGCAATCATCGGAGTGGATCGACATGGTGTAATCATTTGGATACACGATCTACCGACAAGGACTCGATCTACTGATGACACATCATCTGATTTGTACCCACGGTAAGTACGAGAGCCAGTGAAAAATAACAAAAAGTCTATGAACAGTACACAAAGATGAGAAAAATCCACAGTAATGTAGAACAAACACACAATGGATGTGTTTATCGCATAAAGGTGCCTGACTTTTCCACAAAAAAACGGAACAGTCCATCAAACATAGGATTTCACCAAAACCGATTAATAGCCAACCATCGCTGCCGGTGTTGACTTATCATTGACCTATCACAATCTACGG